CTATAAATACACCCCTTTCCTTCACAATAAAATAACCAATTCACATATACTCTTTAGCTCGGTTTAGATAAGTGTTTTCTTTATATTTTCTATCATGTTTAGTCTCCAAATGAGGAGCTAAACTCTTCCATCTTGGTTTTGCTACTTTGAAGCTTAATGAATTTGTAAGTTGTGAGTTATTCTCTTTAATCTTCTTCCTTGAATATTAATTCTTCCTTTAAATACTATTTCTATATCAATGTTGGGGAGTGTTACTAAGATGACAATTAGTTAACATCTTGACATTAGTTATAGTAATAATTATTTCTTCCTCTACGTTAATATTGGGGAGTGTTACTAAGATGACAATTAGTTAACATCTTGATATTAACTATAGTAGGATTCATCTTCTTTAATATTCTTTCTTGAGTATTAATTAATTCCTATTCATATTTCATATTAATATTTTGAACATTACTTAAAGGATCAACTAGTTTTGTTTCATATATTAATTAATACTAGAATCGGTCGATTAATACGCTTGTTATTAATTCGGTCCTTTCATGGTAGTAAACTTGGATTATTAATGCATGCATCTCATGGTTAATAATCTAAGGGGAATTAATTATATTGATTAAACCAATAAACCGCTTGTGTTGAGGTTATCAATCTCAATCGTTTTCATCTTAAGTTTATTGCTACTATCAAGTTAATATACGGCGCTTGTTCTATATTGACTCGATAGTAAGTTTTATTAATGAACGCTTCTCGTTATTAATAACTACCCTCGATGAACTGGATATACTCCTCGATTGAGTATTCGAGAGGAAGATAGTTAAAGATATAACCGGGATCGACGAACATTTCATTAAGTGGATAAAAGCAAAGCCAAGTCTTCTTCTATTAATTAAACTACATAACTCGTCCATCTTCGTGTTTAATTTATTAAACCAAATCAAACTAAAACCCCCCCTTTGTTACTAGTTAATTAAAAAGAGAAATATTCCTTTCCCTGTGGATACGAACCTTACTTCGCCGTATTACGTATTAGTGTCGTATTGATATTTATTTTGAGTGCACCTCCCGACAAGTGCACGTCAAATAATGTTAGTACTTAGTACTAAATTATAATCACTTGTATTACAACTTTTTGAATATTTCATAATGTATAAATTAAGAACATGATTTTTCCCGGATTTTCCTTAAATCAATTTTAGATTATTTTGAATATAATATAGTACCCCCTGAAACATACGACTTAGCTATTACAAAAATTGTACTTACAAAAGAAAAGAGATTTTACTAACAACCTTCACTTAAGTAGTTAAGTTTTTATAGTTTCTTTAATTTTAAATTATCAATTATTGATAATGAGATACTAGAGCATAGGTCACGTGAAACATATAGATAGATAGTACTCCGTCTAATTTTTACTCCGTATTAGTTTTGCTTTTGTTCTATTTCCATTCTTGTTTTACCAAATACGAGTACCCCATTATATAGCGGTAAATTATATTATACCGCCGGTTGTACCATCCGGACGGTACATCCGGCGGTTTTAGTAGTGTGACGTAAGCAAACACATCCTCGTTCCTTTCTTATTCTGTCTTCTTCCGCCGTCAATCCGTCATCTCTTTTCTTTCTTTTCTTCCGCAGCCATCTCTTTTTTTCTTTTCTTCGGCCGCAATCCTCGTTTGGCAGTGGTCTGTGTCTTGTCGTTCCATGTGAATCTGTTGAATCATCTTTTTTAGTCGTTCCTAATCATCTCATTTTAGTTTTGATAGTTACTTTTTAGTTTTGTCTTTTTTATTTTCATGTTTTTCTTTACTTTTACCGTTAGCTTCTTGGTCTTTGTTTTGTTTAATTTTTTCTTTTTTCTTTACTTCTTTTCATTTCTTTATTTGTTGTTTACTTCTTTCTTTTTCTTTATATATTAATACTGAGCATATTAGAAACGAGCTTTATTTTAAACTCAAATGAGTAAACGCCTAAAAAAATGAATATACACAAATGAGATTTTGAATTTTTGGATACTCAATTTGTAAATTATGTATGTTCATTTAGTAACTCCGTTATGCTCATTTTTAAAATGTTTTTAGCAATGCATATTTCAAAAGTCTCTATTACACTAAATTTATATAGGAGTTGATTATAGACACGAGATCACAATTCATGATACTGAATCTCAAATTGTAATACCAAATAACGGAGGTTTTGATGCTCACTGAAAATGTATTGCTGCTCAACGAACAAAACTTACAATTTTCATATCAATGCTCCTCTTGTAAGTTTCATATGCTCATTTGTATATGTTCGATGCTCATTAAATATATTTAAATGAGCATATTAGACAATTTAAATGAGTTTTTGAATTTTTCAATGCTCATTTTATAATATATGTATACTCATTCAGGACTAGTGTTTATGCCCATTTTAAAATGTCATATCAATGCTTATTAAACTAATGCTCAACATAATAGGTAGCATGCTCATTAAAAGTACATTAATGCTCATTTAACAGAAACCATTATTTCCATCTCAATAGAGGAGGTTTGATGCTCAATGAAAATATCGTGATGTTCAGCTAACAAACCAACTAACAAATTCATTAATGTTCATTTTGTAAGTTACGTATGTTCATCTGGTACTGATCTTATGTTCATATATATTGGACTCTTAATACTCAACATAATAGGTTTGATGCTCATTACAAGTTCATTAATGCTCATTCACAAGAAATTGTGATTTTCATCTCAATAGCGGAGGTTTGATATTCAATAAAATGTCGTGATTTTCAACAAAAAAACTTACGATTTTCATATCAATGTGCACTTCGTAAGTTATGTATGCTCATTTGGTACTGATGTAAAGCTCATTTTTACAATGTCATATCAATGCATATTTCAAAAAGTATCATATTATATTAGACTCGCATATTGAAATTAATAAGAGTGGATTATAGATATAATTTAATAAGTTTTTATAAAAGAAAAAACAAGAAAAAGAAAGAGAATTAGAATATATGAAGCAAATATCGTGAAACTCATTATTAGTCTTCTAATACTCAATAAAATAGGCTAGATACTCACTAAAATTACACTATTGCTCATTTAGCGGAAGCCGCGTTGATTCGCTTAAACTACAAAATTGCCACCGAAAAAAATGGCCTGGATTGATTGTTGGGTTGTCTTCCTTAGTTGGGCCGGATGTACCTACACCCGGTTGTATGATATAGGCTCTCTTATATAGCAATAGTAGTTTAATTTTTAAAAATTGGTGCCCCAAGTAATAATGGTGTCCTAGGCATATGCCTAGGTGCCTCCCCCATATGGCCGGTTCTGTGTAAGTTAGGCATTTTTTTAAAACTTGGTTGGCAGATCACTCTCGGATGAGACAAGTTAGGCATTTTGGACCATCATGCTCCAATCCAGGCCCGGCCATAGGGGCAATTAACCAAGACACTTGTCTAGGGCCTCCTAGTTTTAAGTGCCTCCAAATTTGAAAATAAGCTTATTAATATTATGGGTAATTCTATTCACAGACACTAATTTACTAAATACAGTCACTTATTTTTGATAATTCCTATTATGTCCTTACTAGAATAAATCCGCAGCCCACAGCCTCCCCCATAAATAGATCGATCTTCTTCTCGTGCACGATATGCGGGTGGCTTAGTGACTTCAAATGCTTTCCAGCTTCTGTACCGGCTTTTGGAAGGTGACGAGGTTAGGAAAATTAGAAAAAGCCAACCTGAGCTCTATAAGCATAGAATGAAATGTAAGTGCAGATACATTGCTCCTAATGATAAGAAAAAGCAGCCATTGACAAGGCTCAAATGGAAGCTCGGATTTTGGCTAATCAGATGGCACACATGGCTGCAGCGAGTCGAGCGAGGGAATCTGCTAAAACCGGCGAAAAAAGCCATTCTCAGATGCAAAGATTACAGATACTTTCATGACTCCATCTCTGATTTGATTTCTTCGCTAGGTTTCTGAAGAAAGATTGAGAATCATTGAATCAAACTGGACCAAGGTCTTCTCGTGGGCAAAGCCGCAGAAATGACAACAATTGCAGTGGGCTTCTCCATCCTTAGATTTTGTCAACTATGTACACATTCATAAGCTTAGCAAAATCTCTTCAAGTTAAAGAAAGGTATTGCAATTTGCAAGCAATTTCAATTCATCTTTCTGGAGTATTTTCAACGTTAGAAAATGGAGATTAGAAATTTGGGGAGATTGTATTGGGCTGCCGATTGGTGTATTAATTAGGGTTATAATAGGAATTATTGAAAATATGTGGCTGTATTTAGTAAATCGGTGGCTGTGAATAGAATTACCCTAATATTATATAGGTATAATTAATTTAAATTGTAATTAGAAGCAGCGAGTGAATCGAAAAAAAAAAAAAAAGCAAGTGAAAGTAAAATTTAATTCCTAAATATTAAATCCACGGTACCTGTGTTCCCACAATTCTACTCTTCTTCCGTTAAAATTTAGAATTCTACCCTGTATCGCAATTAGTCTAGCACCGCCAGGCAGCGCATGGCCCTGACCTCCAGACGGAGGCGGTAAAGCAGCTCCAATATCAGGTTGAGGCTTTCTGCTTTTGTGGTTTTAGGCATTTGCACATCGACTTCTAACTTCTAAGTACTTTTAATTTTTAATACTTTTTTGGAATTTGGCAATAGGTAATGTTGGGATATATTATCCCGGCCTATTACTGTTCAGGAGCCCAAGACTTTACGTAATACGGAGCCCAATCAGTAAGGCCCATTTTAGCCTATCGGGCCTGTTTCGGCCTTTGGGCTCATTTTGGCCCATTCGGCCCGTTAGGGTGGAGAGCCCCCTTTCCCCCTATTCCCTATAAATAGGAGGTTTCCCTCCATGTAAAAGGATCCTCTTTTAGCTCCATCTTCCTTCTTCTTTTAGACTTAGCTCAATACTCCATGAATGAGAGCTCAAATTGTACTATGTAATGGTGAGGAGAGTCCTAATGAGAAAGAGAGGTCTTGGACATTAGCCTAAAAAGTCCCGTGATTTTCTCTCTTTCGGGTTTCCACGTAAAAACTGAGTTGTTCATACACATATCTACTATATCGTGTTGGATTAAACTCAACACTGGCGCCGTCTGTGGGAATCTGTCCAAAAAGATTCGTGTGTTCTACTGTTCTTGAGTTTCTACAAAAAAAATTCATGCGAAGTGGACTGATTCCAGCAAAAAAGAAAGAAAAACTACTGATTCAACAACAAAAATTAAGGAAGAAGCTACTGATTCTAGCAGGAAGAGGAGAGGAGAAGCTATGGATTCTGAGAAGTCCAAATCTGGATTTTCTCAGATCTGGGTTGGAGTTACCGGAGCCGCCGTCGTCTTCCGCGCCGCCGTGGGCCCTCCGGTGGGTTCAGCTGCACTAGGAGAAGCTCGCCGTCCTGGGACCCGCCAATCCGGCTCTAGCAAACACCGCCTACGACAGAGTCGGTCATGGCTAGCTCGCAGTTGGCCCCACCGGCCACCGCCAGAATCGCCGGACCACAGCTCGTCATCAGCGGCCAACCGCTCGTCAGATCACCACCTGGTCAGTCTCCTTCCGAGCCTCCACCAGTCTTTTGACGCGAGCCAGAAGATCTGCGGTTGAGAAACCCTTGATTTCCGCCATTAATGGCGGCTTGGAGCTCAGAATAGACGGGTCTGAAGCCATGCGGTCCCCTCCAAAGACTAACGTCCGTCGCCGCCGCTGCTCCGCCTGAGCCGCCGCTTGTCCTCAGCGGCATGCTGTATACCGCTCCTCCACCCGGTTGATATCTGCTCGAGCCATTACCAGCCACTCTGGCCCGGCTACGGCCACCATCGCCACCGTCGCTCAGCGGCCGACGTCTGCTGCTTGCTTGGTCTCGATGGAGACGTTTATCTGCCACTCCAAAAGATCCTCCTTATTTGGATGAGGGCCGGCCACGTCCGAAGGGCATGGATGGGGGTTAACAGTAAAGACGAGTGGAGCACCTTATTTATTGGGAAAGTCAACAATCTTACTTGATTTGTGGGAATTGCTACAGGGTACTTCGTACATTTCAAGCAAGCCACAGAGAGCTAAGTATCACATATGCTTTCTCTTTTACGAAATTAATTAGTTACAATAATATTATTGCTAGTATTTTTATCACCATTATTTATTAGGGATTAAAACCCCCGAAATTAAATAATGAGAGCGATGCTCTAAGTGATAATTAGTTTCACCGTCATTTAAATTTAATGACTGGTTGTTGTGAGCCTATGGGCCCACTCCTGTTCGGCTTTAATTAGCGATCGGAGCATAGCTGAATGGCCTATGGTAGGATAATACTATTATTACTACCCGTACATCACTATTATTTATTAGGGATAAAAATGTCCCAAATTAAATGATGCGGAGCGAAGCTCTAGTGATAGTTAGTTCGGCCAACATTTTATTAAATGTTTAATTGTTGGTGGGCCCGGTTAGCCCACTCTCGATCGGCTTTGATTAGCGATTTGAGCGTCTCTAGAGGGTAGTGCCCCGATGACGCGTTTTAATTTGGGGGTTACGCATTAGTCCGCACGGCACCAAGTGCCCGAGCGACGATCGTACCCTAGTACCATCTGCGCCGCTAAGCGCAAAGTGACTGTTGCCAAACGCGGCCGTGGGGCCCGAGGGCACCAAAGCGCTCAAACTCGTTTTTCCGAGGGCAGTGCGACCAACTTGGGTCTGAGTTTGAAAACTCACAGACCGATGAATATCTCTACGTGACGTTCGGCGGGTTGCTAATTGGCCCCGCCGCGAGCTGCTACGTCCCTTAACCCTGCACGATGAGCCGGGCCGAGGGTCACGATGACCCATAGGCCGGTAATCGTGGATGTTAAAGAGAAAGCCATGCAGATGGTTATGTGTGTATACATATTGTCGGGCCGTGCGGCCCGTTACCATGTTTATTGCGCAGCTGAAGCCACTCGATGCGCTCGAGCGAAATGATTAAAAGACGCTCGGCCCGAGTCTTAAAGACATTCAGGGCCAGCTAAAGAGGAGACCATCACGGCTAAGGACCGTGAGACGAGCATCTCCACCTAGAGGCTAAGGGCCTAGAGGAGACCACCACGGTTGAGAACCGTGGGACGAGCATCTCCACCCCAGAGACCGATGGCCTAGGAAGAACACCTAGAGGCCGAGGGTCTAGAGGGAACTATCACGGCGAAGAACCGTGAGACGATCATCCATCATTCAGAGGCCGAAGGCCTAGAGGAGACCGTCACGGCCGGGGGCCAACCGACATCATCATATCACGACCGGCCTCTCGGCACGGCGTGTTTATCTTTTGAAGACCGGACTCGTCCCCGCCCTTCATGGATGAGGGCCGTTGCTTGATTATGTCAGATCGGCCTCTCATTGCCGACACCATTATATCACGACCGGCCTCCCGGCTCGGCGTGCTTTCTATATTTGAAGATCGGCCTCATCCCCGCTCCCCGCGGATGAGGACCGTTGTGTGCTCACTCTCAGATCGGCCTCTCATTGTCGATATCATTATATCACGACCGGCCTCTCGGCACGGCGTGATTATCATCTTTTGAAGACCGGCCTCGTCCCCGCGCTGCGCGGACGAAGACCGTTGCTGGATTTCTTCCAGGTCGGCCTCTCATCGCCGACATCATTATATCACGACTGGCCTCTCGGCCCGGTGTGATTATCATATTTGAAGACCGGCCTCGTCCCCGCACTGCGCAGACGAGGACCGTTGCTGGATTCTTTCAGGTCGGCCTCTCATTGCCGACGTCATTATATCATGACCGGCCTCCTGGCTCGGCGTGTTTTCCACATTTGAAGACCGGCCTCATCCTTGCTCCTCGCGGATGAGGACCGTTGCTTGCTATCTCAGATCGGCCTCACATTGCCGATATCATTATATCACGACCGGCCTCTCGGCTCGGCGTGCTTATCTTTTGAAGACCGGACTCGTCCCCGCTCCTCGCGGATGAGGGCCGCTGCTTGACTCTTGTAGGTCGGCCCCTCATTGCCGACATTGTCACATCATGTTCGGCCTCTCATCGCCGACATCATCATATCACGACCGGCCTCTCGGCTCGGCGTGCTTATCTTTTGAAGACCGGCCTCGTCCCCGCACTGCGTGGAGGAGGACCGTTGCTGGATCTCAGATCGGCCTCTCATTGCCGACATCATTATATCACGACCGGCCCCCCCGGCTCGGCGTGTTTTCCATACTTGAAGATCGGCCTCGTCCCCGCTCCTCGCGGATGAGGACCGCTGATTATCTCTCTTTGGATCGGCCCCAGCGCCGACGTCATACATGGCCACCGACCTCCTGGTACAGTGCCACCATCATATTTGAAGACCGGTTTCATCCCCACGCTGCGTGGATGAGAGCCGTTGCTCGGATATATCGGCCTGATCGGACACTATTGTCATCTCTTTATCAGGACCGTCTGCTCAGCGACATTATGATCATTGTTTATCGACTCCCAATGCCGACCTTCTTGGGTTAGCGATCGGACTCACCCCTCCCCTCCAGGAGGGTGACCATCGCCTTCGCATGACGACCAGCTATTCCATCGCCTCGTCATTTTATTCGTGTTGGTATCCCACCACCATTACGTGTGACATCACTGGTGGTCATTCTTGGAAACCGACGAACGTATTTTCCTCCCTCAAAAAAAAAAGAGAAAAAAAAAAGATAGGGAGAAGAGGAGGGTAGCTCCTATGCGGAAGGGAATCTTGCCCGGGCGTGCCAGATCTTCCCCCACCGCCGAAGACGAACGCCTCTCGATGTAGAGGTTAGTAGAGACGCGGAGGGGGCTAGACGAACCAAGGGAGCCTGCCAAGATAAACCTGTTTATCCCACAAATGACCATGGATCGATGGACGTGGGATAACAAAGTCGGGAACCCGTGAGGGTAAACCTGTTCATCCCTGCGAGTTCCTTGGGTACCGAACGTCTTCTTCGAAGCAAGAGACGCCGGTAAGACTAAAAGGACCACGGACGAACGAAAAAAGGGGGAATCTCGATGTAGATAAACCTGTTCCTCCTTGCGATGTCTGCGGATACCGAACGTCTCCTCGAAGTAGGGACGCCGGTAGGACCAAGGACCAAGGACGAACGAAGAATATAGATTGCCTCCCTCAAAAAAAAAAAAAGAAAAAAAAGAAAAAGATGGGGAGAAGAGGAGGGTAGCTCCTATGCGGAAGGGAATCTTGCCCGGGCGTGCCAGATCTTCCCCCACCGCCGAAGACGAACGCCTCTCGATGTAGAGGTTAGTAGAGACGCGGAGGGGGCTAGACGAACCAAGGGAGCCTGCCAAGATAAACCTGTTTATCCCACAAATGACCATGGATCGATGGACGTGGGATAACAAAGTCGGGAACCCGTGAGGGTAAACCTGTTCGTCCCTGCGAGTTCCTTGGGTACCGAACGTCTTCTTCGAAGCAAGAGACGCCGGTAAGACTAAAAGGACCACGGACGAACGAAAAAAGGGGGAATCTCGATGTAGATAAACATGTTCCTCCTTGCGATGTCTGCGGATACCGAACGTCTCCTCGAAGTAGGGACGCCGGTAGGACCAAGGACCAAGGACGAACGAAGACTAAAAGACTCCAAAAAAAAAAAAAAAAAAGATGCCAGAAGAGCACGGAGCAAAGAATGATTTTATCCCTCGGCGCTATTGGCCGGGAAGTACAAACTGAAAAACATACATAAAGAATAATTACAAAATTTAAGTATGAAGAATGAAGTGGCCGACGACGATCGGCTAACATCATGCTTTCTTTTGCCTTGGACGATGAATACCAGCTCCCCAGATCAGACGGAGGGACATCGCCCAGATTCACGTTGAGCTCGTCCATCCCTTCCAGGGTGGCGACGAACGTCTTATGCAGTGCGATCGGCCCCTCAGCGCCATCGTGCCCAGATTCACGGTTCGGCTCGCCCATTCCCTCCAGGATGGCGACGAACGTCTTATGCAGTGCGATCGGCCCCTCAGTGCCATCGTACCTGGCTCCACGGTTCGGCTCGCCCATTCCCTCCAGGATGGCGACGACCGTCTGATGCAGCACGATCGGCTTCTCAGCGCCATCGTGTCTCTTTCACGTTCGGATCGCCCCATTCCCTCCAGGATGGCGACGAACGTCTTATGCAGTGCGATCGGCCCCTCAGCGCCATCGTACCTGGCTCCACGGTTCGGCTCGCCCATTCCCTCCAGGATGGCGACGACCGTCTGATGCAGCACGATCGGCTTCTCAGCGCCATCGTGTCTCTTTCACGTTCGGATCGCCCCATTCCCTCCAGGATGGCGACGAACGTCTTATGCAGCACGATCGGCTTCTCAGCGCCATCGTGTCTCTTTCACGTTCGGCTCGCCCATTCCCTCCAGGATGGCGACGACCGTCTGATGCAGCACGATCGGCTTCTCAGCGCCATCGTGTCTCTTTCACGTTCGGATCGCCCCATTCCCTCCAGGATGGCGACGAACGTCTTATGCAGTGCGATCGGCCCCTCAGCGCCATCGTACCTGGCTCCACGGTTCGGCTCGCCCATTCCCTCCAGGATGGCGACGACCGTCTGATGCAGCACGATCGGCTTCTCAGCGCCATCGTGTCTCTTTCACGTTCGGATCGCCCCATTCCCTCCAGGATGGCGACGAACGTCTTATGCAGTGCGATCGGCCCCTCAGCGCCATCGTACCTGGCTCCACGGTTCGGCTCGCCCATTCCCTCCAGGATGGCGACGACCTTCTGATGCAGCACGATCGGCTTCTCAGCGCCATCGTGTCTCTTTCACGTTCGGATCGCCCCATTCCCTCCAGGATGGCGACGAACGTCTTATGCAGTGCGATCGGCCCCTCAGCGCCATCGTACCTGGCTCCACGGTTCGGCTCGCCCATTCCCTCCAGGATGGCGACGACCGTCTTATGCAGCACGATCAGCGCCCCAGCGCCATCATGTCTGGCTCACGTTAGGGTCGCCCATCCCTTCCAGGATGGCGACGAACGTCTCTTATGCAGCACGATCAGCGCCCCAGCGCCATCATGTCTGGCTCACGTTAGGGTCGCCCATCCCTTCCAGGATGGCGACGAACGTCTCTTATGCAGCACGATCAGCGCCCCAGCGCCATCGTGTCTGGCTCACGTTAGGGTCGCCCATCCCTTCCAGGATGGCGACGAACGTCTCTTATGCAGCACGATCAGCGCCCCAGCGCCATCGTGTCTGGCTCACGTTAGGGTCGCCCATCCCTTCCAGGATGGCGACGAACGTCTCTTATGCAGCACGATCAGCGCCCCAGCGCCATCGTGTCTGGCTCACGTTAGGGTCGCCCATCCCTTCCAGGATGGCGACGAACGTCTCTTATGCAGCACGATCAGCGCCCCAGCGCCATCGTGTCTGGCTCACGTTAGGGTCGCCCATCCCTTTCAGGATGGCGACGAACGTCTCTTATGCAGCACGATCAGCGCCCCAGCGCCATCGTGTCTGGCTCACGTTAGGGTCGCCCATCCCTTTCAGGATGGCGACGAACGTCTTTTATGCAGCACGTCTGCCTCTCGGCGCTGACATGCCCGGGTTATCGTTGAGAGCTACCGCTCCTATCACATCTTGCATTCCCTCTCTCATACATTGCACCCATACATTGCACCCATACATTACATGCATTCATGCATCATACCTCATACATTCATACATACACACGTGCATCATGTTTTGACAGTACCGCGACGTCGGTTTATAGATGCATGGACCTCTAAGCTTCTCCGTTGGAAAGCTCGAGTCAGAGTCCTTTACTCTAGCCTGATGCATTCAGGGGGAGCGTGCCCGTGGAGGAGCACCCTTCGCCCGACCCCGTCGGGAACGGAGGTGCCTCACCGGCAGATTACGTTCAGGAGTGTGGACATCCACTCATATATTATGATTATTCGAAGACACAGGTTCCAGCTAGATCGAGGTAAAGCGTAGGCAAGAGTATATTTTCTCGAGCAGATTCGCACGCTCACTACTCAAGAAACTGGGGGACTTGTGTTGGGATATATTATCCCGGCCTATTACTGTTCAGGAGCCCAAGACTTTACGTAGTACGGAGCCCAATCAGTAAGGCCCATTTTAGCCTATCGGGTCTGTTTCGGCCTTTGGGCCCATTTTGGCCCATTCGGCCCGTTAGGGTGGAGAGCCCCCTTTCCCCCTATTCCCTATAAATAGGAGGTTTCCCTCCATGTAAAAGGATCCTCTTTTAGCTCCATCTTCCTTCTTCTTTTAGACTTAGCTCAATACTCCATGAATGGGAGCTCAAATTGTACTATGTAATGGTGAGGAGAGTCCTAATGAGAAAGAGAGGGCTTGGACATTAGCCTAAAAAGTCCCGTGGTTTTCTCCCTTTCGGGTTTCCACGTAAAAACTGAGTTGTTCATACACATATCTACTATATCGTGTTGGATTAAACTCAACAGGTAATTATGTATAAATCTATGGATTTATCCAAATAGCAATAAATCTATGGGTTATTAATTTATGTGTGTAAGAAAAGATTGATTGTATTATTTTTTCATCAAATGCTTATGTTGAAAAAAGTTATTTCCGATCAATCATGTATGAAAATTGATTAGCTGTTTTGCTTATGCTTTTGATGGAAAATAATGCTAGCTACTTTCAATTGTAGTGATGATTTTATGAAAATTTTCCGAAATTGGAGTAAAAACATTTCAAAATTTCAAAATAGGATTGTCATGTTTTTATTCTCTAAATATGACTAATTATTGTCAAACTTGCAAAAAATACTACCACATTTAATGTTTGGTATTGCAAAAACTAGCATTAATTAATTCTATCTAGGAAATACAAAAATGATAGTCCTATTTTAGAATACAAAAACTCGTTTAGTCTTATTTAGGGCAATTTCCCATTTTTTACTAATTTTGTTCTTCCAAAATCAAGAAAAATAGGCTATTAAAGTGTATTATTTTGTCAATTTGGAATGATTTATATTCAAAGAATTGTGTTTTTGACATTCACTATATATTCTAAATTTTATTTGGGGCGTTGCTAGGCGCACCACTGTTTTTACTTAATGTAACTCTAATAAGACTCATTTGTCCTTTCTTCAATTGAAATTAAAATTAGTAATGGAGTATTCCGCCAATACACTATCCATTCTAATCAATTTTAAAATTTATTCTCCATCTAATAGTTTCAAATAATTACTACAGTATTATTTTGGTAAAACATTATAACTTTTTTATTTGTGTTCCGTTTTTTCCAGAAAATATTTCAAATTAAATAATTCTTTATCATCTTTCATATGACATCAATATACATCTATAAAAATTCTAAAAATAAAATTATTTTGATCAGGTGAGTTTAAGTTTAATTAATGGACAGTGAATGTGTATTTTAATATTGTTTAATTTTGATGAAATTTGGCCTGATCTGATTTAATTACTCTAATCAGACCTGATTTGATTTGTTTAAATATGATTTGATCTAAGATCAAAATCTCTGCAATAAAAAACATTCTAAATGTCATTTACAACTTCACATGTATGTCCATAAATACAAATATATGACTTTAATCTGGATCAACATAGAAATTTGCAATTTTCATCCCGTAACTTATGTTAGAGATACTTTTTGTATCCGCCTTTGAAAATTTTCATATTTAGCCCTTTGACTTTCATAAAAGTGTCATTTTTTTCGTTCAGATATTATATTAGTGACATTTTTAATCCTCTATTTATTGTGTCAAAATCATAATGGAATGACTAAAAGTGCCAATTTGATAATACTCAAGTGACTAGATGAGAGAAACTTTTAAGTTGAGGACTAAAAGTGTCCCTAGCACAAAATTCGAAGACTAAAAATGAAAAAATTAAAATTCGAGTACCGAAAATGTAACTGAAACAATAGTCGGGGACCAAAAATGAAAAAAAAAAAATCAATTAAGAATTAAGATAAATAAATGGTTAAAAAAATTAAGATAAATAAATAATTTGTAAGTGTGAAAGTTAACAGGGCTATTTTTCAAATAATCTATAGATTCATCCTTCATTATATTTAATGATTGTAAAATTTTGTTAGGCCGTTATTAAGTGATAGTTGTTTTTTAGAAATAAAATTACAAAAATTAAGGAAATGTGAATTTTTTTTTTTATGAAAGATACGGAAAGTGACTCACGACTAAAATGCGGAGTGGGGCAAATTTGTCCAGACACGAAGTAAAATCGGTGCGCCCAGCACTTTTGAGGTGCGCAAAGTCGCTCCGTTTTATTTGTATTTTAAATCTATTTTTATTTCATATTATAATTTGAGCATTTAGGGTCTCAAAATTGCTCTAGACGGCTATGCTCCAACTTGAGGGGTATTAATGAGATATTGAATATCTTTATTATTCTTGTCATATGCGTAGCATTACTTTGTTTAGAATTAGGTTCAAATGAGAAAGTGATCTTAGGAAAGAAATGAGAATGGATCAGAACTGTTAGATTGAATTTTGTGAAATTGAAAATGCATTAACTGAAATGTGCATTAGATGAAATCGAAATGTGCATGACAAAAGGTAGGGCAAAGGGACATCATATGAAGCAAACTTGTGCATTAGGTGAAAGTGAAATGTGCATTTGGTGAAATTAAAATGTGCAAAACGTTTTTGTGACTTTTATTCTGCACATTTCAATTTTACGTAATGCACATTTAAATTTTAACTTTTATTTTGCACATTTCAATTTCACTTTATGCACATTTCAGTTTCATCAAATGCACAATTCAGTTTCACATAATACAATCTAATGGTCCAGATTCATTCTCATTTCTCTCTTGGGAGTCCTTTCTCAGCTCACCGGAACCGCTCCCACTTTGTTTATATCTTTATTGGTTGCCATATTTATTACTCCGTAGTAATTGCCATTGTGTAGTATTCTTATTTCCCTTTCATCCATATAAAACCTATTGGGATGGCTCCCATTGTTTTATTAGCAAAAATAATACGGAACAATGCGATTAGTAATATTCTTCTTCTAAGTCGCTGCACTCTCAATTATGAGTACAAATATGTGTTGGGAAATTCAATATTTCCAAATACTTTGTGAAATTCTAGAGAATTCTAGGACTATGTAGAGATGAATAGAATTCTCTAGAATATTGTTGAATTATCTAGAGAAATATAGTATTCTCTAGATGTGTGTAGAATATTATAGAATCTTCTAGAATACTCTAGTCTCTAGATAAATGTAGAAAAAAATGTGTAGAAAGTTGTGGAGGCTTATGTCTAGAGTGTTCGAAATAAGTGTGGGGTCATCTAGATTCTTCAAGAAATAATGGAAGCTTGTGAAGGCTTCTTGAAAGAATCTAGAATGTAGATAGGTGGGTGGAAGATTCTAGAGAGGGAATTCATACCCCTTTGTGAGTAGTATAAGAAAGACTTCTCATAAGTGAGGAAGAGTAAGTAGGTATTCCCAATTACAAAGTGTGACGTGAGATACCTGTTCATTTGTATACTCTCTTGTAAATTTCAATTATATAATACAAGAGTTTTTTCTTAGCTCGTGATCCTGTTAAAGTTCGGGGTGTCGTGTTTTCCCCAACAATATGATTATTGTAGGACCAAGAAAATCTCTAATGCAAAGCGCGGTGCAAATTTTCAAGAGCGATGCATATAACGTATCATTTTCATGTGTTGATTGATTATTAGTCTATGACAATAGTAACAAGTCCATTTGGGTTATGTGATGAGATGGTCAATCATCCAATATGCCATCAAATGTTGCTTATAAAAATATGTACATAATATTTGGTAATTCTCATTGTGCCTTTGATCAAACTGTATGAACTAATATTGTGATAACTATATATTCTTTGAAAAATCTACTTTACAAGAATGATAATTCCTTGCAGCAAATAAAAAAAAATTAGAATTCCTTAAAGAATGCTACGTACTACACTACTACGTAATGAAAATTAAAATATTACTCTGTACAAGAACATTCGCACATCGGGAATATCCATGGCGCGAGTTGTAATTATGTGAATCTAAAAAACGTCATATATAGCATTTAGACGTGTGTATGTATATGCGTATATATAGCTACGAAATACAAAAAAAAAAAGAATAGAGGCTGGCCTCCTACTCATGGATTGGGGATTGTGGTGGAACTGAGACTGGGGAAGGTGATGGTAAAGGGGATGGTTCCTTCCTGCTGAAACTCTTTCTCAATAAAAGGTCTCCAACTCTACGAAACAATGCTCTTTTCCTTCTATGTGAAATCCTTTCATTATCCGATTCATCGATATGATGGTGAATGTCAGCACTGCTATTTTCAGCATCTTCTGCGCTCGGCGATCCTTCTGCGTCTGTGAACGCGGTCGACTTGCGTCGGTGATGCGTCGTGTGTCGCTGTGGAGTCCGCGGCTCTGACTTGGGTGAGAATGGTGTGTCGAAGATGGACCCTTTAAGCGCCTCTAGCTTCTCGGGGTCCTCGTGTTCAATCCGCGAATGCGCATCTTCGTCCTCGTCCTTGAGCAACGACAGCTCGCTGAGGCCGAAACTGAACTTTCTCACCACAGGGTGGTAGTCTTCATCCTCCTCTTCGTCTCTTGGATCTGACCCGTTGGTCATTTGCAAATGGTCGTCATCCTCATCGTCTTCGTCCTCGGGTGAGGCCTCCTTTTCCTCAGCTTTGAGCTCTCGGGAGACGTAGGAGAGCATTAGTTTGAACTGCTTGACGTTCTCATTGGCTGCGGCCTCGTTAATCCTGAGACGTTCATTCTCCCGGGATAGGAAGTGTAGCGATTCGTCCTTCTCGGACAAGAGATCTTTGAGTTGGGAGTTTTCGGCCCGGGCTATGTCAGCAGCAGATTTAGCAACATTGGCTTCGTTGATGGCCTGTTTCAATATATCCCTCAACTTGTAGCTCTCTTCCCTGGCTGCTCTTAAGGCCTCAGCTAGCTTATTGGCTTCATGTTGGGCGACCGCGCGCTCTTCTTCTGCCCTTTTGATGCAAGTCACAAACCCCATCTCTTTCCCGTTCCAGGCGAAAATGGACTCCTCTGCCTCTAACCTCAACCTCTCCACTGTATTCCTATGCATCTCGGTTTCTTTCCTGGCATCTTCTAAGAGCTTCTCGTACCTCTCCTCGCTGCCTCGCACCATCTCTTTAAGCTTTTGGGCTTCTTCTTTGACTTGGTCGAGTTCAAGCTGAGTCCCGGAAAGCTTGTCCCGAGCCTCAGCGGACTCGGTCGCGACTTCCTTTAAGGCTAACGCCAAATCCTCCATCGCCTTTCTGCTTTTCTCCTCCGCGTCCGTTGCCAGCTTCACTTCGTTCTTCAGTGAGTTCAGCTCTTCGATCAAACTGGTGACCTTCAACAATGCGGCTTCCTCACTTTCTTGCGAGACAGAAAGTCTATGCCTTAGAATTTCAACTTCAGGATCATTCTGTTTGTGTTCATAGCATTGGATGTTGTCCTCTTTGGCTCTTTGAAGCTCAGATTTTATAGTTTTGAGCTCGTGTTTGATATCCTGAAGTTGTTCGAGGGCTCGGTCCCGTTGCTCCTCAGCGAAGCCGAGTTGATCTCTGAGCTCATCCTCCAGCTCCCCCATTTTTTGCCCTTGCATTACTCCTTCAATCTAATTCGGCATAAATATATGTACAGCTGAAAAATAGGGGGGGGGGGGGGGGGTTAGGCATAAAAATCATAATCAACTTTATAAATGATTTTGATGTGTTCAAAATTATAACAGGCTGCACAAATGAAAGATATTGAGGCGAAATTGATCATTCTTTGGGGGCTCATTCTTCTATTTCAAACCATATTTAATCATACTAGTAGAAAATATCTCCGAATTTAATAACTAAGTAAGCATCGATAAAAATGTGTCATGCATACACGAGAATGAGAAGTCGATGATAATGTATTATATACCAGCGGGCAGCGTTGGAAGAAAAAAAGAAGAAGAAGAAGATGTTAGGTTATTGATGAGGTCCTTCCTGCACCGCACGAAGAAGAAGGTTGGACGCAGAAGGGCGGCCGGGGAATGTCTGCTCTGATCTCTGTCAAAATGAAGCGACAAAGATCCGGACTTCCCCAATTCGATTGGTTTTATTTGAATAATAACAAAAACTGAAAGCTAGGGGGGAAGCTGGAGTTATTCGTTCTATGTGTTTCAGGAATGTGAAGGAAGAAGAGAGAATCGTGTATGGTTAGTTAAGGACTTGTGGTTGGTTGGTTCGTCGGTTGGTTAAAGAGAAGATTTCGCGCTAATTCCCACCTTTAGCCGTACGTACTATCATTCCCTACCAATTTGAAACCTCCGTATTTCACTTTTAACCTATTCTAAATACAAGTGCCTCTCTTTTTTAATAAATAAATAATTCTATATTCAATTCACAGTTTATCCCACCTTATTGAAATCTACAAATTCACCATTCCAATTTTACTTGCTGCTTCGTTGACAACCGTAAAAAGGGATGTTTTAGAATTTTTATCTCACGTTTTTTAATGTATGTGCCTAAAAGTTTTTTACCTTTTGTTTTGAGGATAGTAAACCACTAATAGGTGTAGGTCCTTCAATTCCAATTTCAAATAGGACAAGCGGAATAAAAGGATCTTAGCTCTACAATTTGACACCATTAGATTATGTTTAGACTATGTTTAGAACTATGAGCTGTAGTTGAAGGCTGACGTCTAAGTTAGAAACTATTGTCTCGAAATGAATTTCAAAGTGATGAATGAAGTAGTGTCATTTAGTATAATGAGCTGAAAAACATCAAATTGCATAAATCAAAATATTGATTGTAATGATCTTTTATACTTCGTTGACTTACTTTGACAACATCAAATATTAATCTTCTGTTCACTTTTCGGCATAGACAGTTTCCTTTAATGGTTAGCTATGCAATGACCAATATTAAAAGTAGTCAATGGAAAATGTTGACATCTTCCTCCATCGTCCTATTTTTACGCATGAACATTTGTGCGTTGCAATTTCGAGAATAGCAAATCCATCTAGGTTAAGTTCGATATATGTGACGAAAAAGGGCAACCAACGAAGTCAGCGTTGAATGTTGCATTCATAGAAACCTTATGATAATATGCAGTTTCCCTTGGCGGTTTGGTTTATATGTATACCTTACATGTATATCTATTTTATTTTATGACATCATGGTTTATATTTAACTTGGAGCATTATTTTAAATTTTCTATGACTACTTATTTTATTTTATGTTTTCAGTTAAGTGATTCATTGTGAATTTTTTATACTTTATTTATAATTTATTTAAACTTTTAAGTACATATTTCACTATCGTGCAATGTACCAGTGGAGTAACTAGTAAGTTTGAATATGATAAAATGCGTACATATATGTATATCATTGGTCTAAGAATCTGGTAAGGCTAGCCAGCACCTAGGTACATGGCAGTGATCGGACACCACTACGGACCAAATAGCAACTCTTTCACATCATCGGTAGTAGAATACATCATTTTTCATCAACAGAACACCTCTTGGATCTTTTTATATAATCTCGGTATTTCAGCATCGCCCAAACACCTCTTGGATCAATAGCAAAGCTTCAGGGCCGGTCCCGAGAAAATACGGGCCCTGTGCAAAAATAAAATGTAGGCTTTTTTTAAAATAGGTAGAAATATAATATAAGTGAAGATCATATTTGTAAAAATTTGCTACAATAATAATAATTCATATATATCAAAATACAAGTTATTCACTAACATAATAGTTAAAATAAAACTATTCCCTCACAAAATACACTTCATTTATTTGTTAAATTGAATTATAAATTAATAGTTAAAATAAAATTATTCCCTAACATCAATATAATTGATAGACGTAATGAACATTTGATAAATATTTAATAGTTTGTTAATTTAATAATGACATGCAATAAAAAATAATAGTAGTTATTATTATGATTACAAATTAATATCAATAATTGTAGTGGATGACATATATGAGCTTAGAATCTAATGAGTTTTTAGTTATACTTTATATGATATAAAACTACGAATTGAGAGGATGTTAACAACAACCTAATGGTTGAGCCGGTTAAGCGTCCTCATGGGTAAGAAACCCTCCGGGGTTCGAATCCCTTGGTGTAAAAATTTTTTAATTGTGAAGCATGGGATCTGAATATTGGGCTCTATTCGTTCTTATAGTAATAAGAGGTCTATTGAAAATTTGGGCCCTCGAAAATTACGGGCCCTGTGCGGCCGCACATCTGGCACACCCTCTGGGCCGGCCCTGCAAAGCTTTGATCCAGAAAACCGAGCTATTGGGGGCAAAAAAAACGCAGGCATGAAAAAATACAATCAAATGAAGTACACCCGAATTTCATAACTAAATGAAGTATATTATCACAATATAAAAAAATCCTAGAAAGTGTAATTAATTCTTTGATAACTAATGTGCTCTTTTTTCTCTTATATATCTTCAACCTTCTCCTAGAGTGATAGCTCTGTAAAAGTTATACGGAGTATTTTGTCTTTCTTAATTTGTCTCTTTATATTTAATATATCTTAAACATTCTCTAATGGTGATAGCTATGTAAAAAATATATTTTAAATCGTAATACTAGTTATAGGTAATTGCAAATTTAGATTTTTAATTTTAACAATTTAATACAAATACACGACAACACTTTTTAACACATACAAATTATACAATAAACAATACTCAATAGTCAAATTACTCAAAACAGAGTAGTTAATACTCAATAGTGCACTTAAGACTTCCCTTTTAACCAAAACTCGATTATTATTTTAGGCCCATTGGGCTGAAGTATACGAGCATATTACTTTACTTTGGGCCGACTGGTTATTGATGGACTAGGTATATGGGGGCAGTGGCGGAGCCAGATATTTTTCGAATGAGGGGCGTACCAAAGGCTAAGAATTATTGTGTAATTGTTCTAAATATAATAAAAACAATAAAAGCGTAATACCTTAGCTTAGCACAAATTAGGTTATTACATATTGCTTGATTCATATTTATAATCTGGACAGATCAATCATACGAGTTTTAATTTATTCAAAATGTTGTATAATAACTTCATGTTGGAAAAACATGATCCGGTCTTTTCCAGGATCATGAGCTCATAGACTCTTGTGCACTTATCCACACACTCATAATACAAAGACTCAATCTGACAAAATCACTTTCCATTACCCACATTCACTCTTTGTATCTAGGAATATTTTACTCTACCTAACTCGATCATTATCACATACATTTCATCAAGCGATATCTTTAAGTCTTCTTTTTTCACAAGAAGGCTCTCTCTTTCATCTCTCAAGGAGACTCCCACTTTCAATCACTCAAGAGCTCTCTTCAAGGTTCTCATAGAAATAGGAAACTTATCTATACTAATCTCATCAAAGCATGTCTAAATTTTTTTATACATCACTACACATCTAGATTCTTCCAAAAAGTATCCACAAACTTCTCTAATCTTCTTGAAGGATTTAGAGACCTTCACAATTCTTCAAAAGGTTCTAAAGGATTTCACACACTTCCACACGATTTTAGTGAGTTCCACACTTCTCTAGAAAACTCCACATTATTATTTCAGAACATTCAATACTTCTCTACACACATATAGAGAATCGTAGACATCTCTGTAAGATTGTAAATTATAAAATTCTCATGAATTTCTCCACTAAGGTGGGAATCCAACATAATCTCGGGAATGTTTTGATCTTTTCATTGAAAAAATGTGACAATAAATTCGTCAAACTCAATACTTTCTTGCTCAATATAACCACGAAAAGTCAACTCGTGTGTTATTAAAGATCTAATACAATGCACACTTGCATTCAAATGAGGGTGGTATACTGTAGTCAATACTTGTATTCCTAGAGATACGTACGTTTCCTGAAAGACTGCCTTGTATTTTAACATTTAATCCAAAATTAATCATTATTGAAACTGATTTTTGAAAAGAAGGAATGCATTAAATATATTATAAGTAGTAGTACTAATCTTTTTTGTCCGAAGCAGAGGCGATTGCCCCCTCATGCCCCTCCCCAGCTCCTCCACTGTATGGGGGCATTTTTTTTATCAGTGGCAATTATATGTATGAATTTTTTCCCTAATATGACATAGGTGACTAACTAACTATTAGGAGTTTATTGGGGGCAGCTACCCTCTACTGAAGTTGTGCATCTACTTGTTCAAAAATAGAGCTCAAAACCACATGTTGCTTAAGTTTCACACCAAAAAATTGTGAATTATTAAGATCTAGCTACTCCTACTCAGTGACGCTATCAGCTTCGACATGTTGGAGGACATATCATGAGGAAGAGTATTGAAGTCTCACACCACAAATTGTGAAGTATTAAGATTTGGAGTTTCATCATAAAAGATTAACCTTAGATAAATGTTACTCCCTCCTTCTCTTAAAACTTTGTCATCGTTCCTTTTTGGGACGTCCCAAAAAACTTTGTCACTTTCCATTTTAATTAATTATTTTGTGGTTTCTGTTATTTCTCTCTCGTCTGCACAAACCTCAATCAAACAGTTTTTACTTTATTATTCTCCGTGCCGGTCAACTTTGGCAAAGTTTTAAGGGACGGAGGTAGTATAGGTGAAAAAGTGAAGTTGAATGTCCATTTTTGAACAAAGTTAGGATGTCTTTAATTGGACTGAAAATTTTTTGTTTGTCCGGTAAATGTTTGGTCTCTGTGTATTTTATAATTATCCAAGTATGATCTGGTGTGGTCCACGACTGAAAACAGTCCAAGTAAAAACATCCTTAAACTCTAACAATAATTGAAACTAAGGGTGGGCAATTCAGTTTACGGTTCAGTTTTCTTCAGTTTCGGGTCGATTTATACGGTTTGGGAGATACTGTATAAAACTAAAACCATTTGTATTTCGGTTTGATTTCGGAACGGTTTCAGTTCGTTTTGATTTGAAGTTCGGTTTACCAAAGTGAAAATATTAGGTTCAATGTAGTTCGGTTTGATTCGATTTTCTCATGTTTATTATTTTATTTGATCAAGTTCTATACTTTAGAATTAGACAATGAACATATCAGTCTATCTCATCTTCTTGTATTTATAATTTAAATAAAATGTAAAGAAAAATAAAAGATAGAAAGAGAAATAATAAATATTACTACGTACAAATTAACA